CCTTAACTCGATTGAAGTCTTTTTATTATAAGTTTAATTTAAAGGGAATTTCTTACATCTACTGAAATACTTTATAGTATAAATATAAAATTGCAATACGCTTGCAGTGAAAATAGATCACTCAAAATTAAATAATTTTCGTTGAGAAAACTTTTCTGTGTTAATTTAAATTAAGGTAACAAAAGTTGAGCTTTAAGTTTATTGCTTATGAGTTTGATTGCAAATAAAATAGTTTATACATTTATTTAATCCTTGGCTTTTTGAATGTCGTATTCCAACAAGTAAAACAAAAATAGATGTATTCTAGGGCCTTTAAATCAATATTTTTGTCTAAATCGATTCAGCTCTTAATGCTGATCAATAATATTGTATATATGATTTATAGGGTCGGAAATGACTCCTTCACTGCGTCTGACTAAAATTACTTACTTACTTATTAATTAAATAATACACAGGAAGGATATAAAAATTGACTGACATTGTGAAAATTTACTGAGTTGACTTCAAACTTCTGGTAGTACCCTCAATAATTTGCTATTACAAATTCCGCTTTGATGGAGAAAATAGGAAAAATAGTTCAATTTCTAAGTATTGCAATTTTCCAAGGCAGAGGGAAACATTTACCCCCATCGATACTCGCTGGAATTTAATATCGTTTTCGCCACTTATAAAGTCGGGTTGGCATACAAATTCGCATTCTGGTGTCAGTTGAGTTTGTTTTGCTCCTTCGCCATCGCCCTGACAGCTGCCTTTCAAATGCAAAATATATTCGCAGTTTTCTTCTTGGCCAGACCCATTCTATTTCTTATTTTATTTCCCTCTTTTTTTGTATTTGGTTTTTGGTGCATTTCGGGGCGCCAACATTTGTGCAGGAAATGTGTTTTTAATGAAGCCTTTAACCAGACGTCGGCCTAATAAAGAGTGAGGGAGGGTAGTGATGGAGAATTTCCAGCGATTTTTCCCGTTCTACCTGCTTTTCTCCCCGGTCGTCAACTCGTCATCGTCAGGTCGTCAAGCGGCCGTCAGAGTTCTTAGCTCTGCTTTTGTTCAGGACCTCTTCCATCGCCCTCTCTGGCTGCCCGAATTTCCCCCTTTTTCTCGCTGGGCTTTTTATGGGTTTTTGCCGTTTGCTTTTCCCTTTTCAATAAATCGCAAATGGCAATGTGTCCCCTGCCCCAGAAAAATATATATGTATATATGTTTGTAGGTAAGAAGAAGGAATCCTTGACGGGCCAAGTTTATGCAAAGTAGCTTTTAATATGTTTACGACTAAACATTTTTCGGCTGCTGCCGCTGCCGGTTTCGCATCAGGTTAATGTCTGCTCTTCGTCTCGCTTCAGCCGTCACTCACAGCTACCGAGGACCTTCTGTCCCAGTCCCCTTTCCTGTCCTTGTCCTTTCCCCTTTATTGCACAATTTTTTAATAATTCCTGGAGCACCGCTTTTAAAGGCAGGGAAATATTAAACTTTACTGCTGTGGCCGCACATTTCCCTGGCTGGCGCTGCCATTTGATTGTAATTTATTTCCAAGTTGAAGTGGCTCCCGAAATTAAATGTTAATGGAGTCGGATGAGGTACACACAGATATACACACATTTATTTGTAGGCTGTACAATTCCGTTGACAGTTCCATTTCCATTTGCTGCTTTTTCCGAAATTAATTAACATTTAAGCTGCTTACAAGTTTCGGGGTCAGTGGCGAATTTAATATTAAAGGATTCAAAGGACCGCGTCTTAGGCTAAACTTTGTCCTGGAATTTGTTTGCGGCGATTCTCTGTCTGTGTCTCTGCGTCGTATGCGTAATTTGAGGGGCACCACTGCGTATGCTTAATATTCGCAGCTGGTCAAACACATGGCGCTCCGTTGGTCAATTGTTTAATTTATGCAGCAGCACGTGGCCCACCGCTCGTCATTTGATGGCTGCAGGGGATTAATGCAGCTCACTCCGGACGACCGACGGACTCATAAAACCGGGCTCCGCCCAAATGTAGGCAATAAAAAATTTTAAACCCTAAATTATGCACACCGAGTGGCGGGGATCGCAGAAGGAGTGGGACCTCTGTTATGGAGGACCCAAGGGCCTGTGCATTAGATTTGCGACCCGAAGCCGAAAGCCAGCCAAAGTTTCAAACATTGTTCGCATAATATAGGAAAAGTTGCACATAAAGGCAGCTCCTCCTGGTTTCTGGCTCCTGGAAATGGAGAGCGGAACGTGCCACTCTGCCACTTGATGATGAATGAAACACCTCGGGCATGTGTGTGAGCGTCGTTGACTGTGCTTTATGTATCCTAGCATTGGTATTTAGGGCTTGGGTTCTGGGCTTTTGGGTTAAGGTCTCTGTCTCTCGCACTCTCTATGCGTTTTATGAGGCTGGAAGGGCTCACTACTTTGAGCCCCGGGAGGAGTCAGTGGAAACGTTAATCTTATTTGCCACGGGGAGTGCCAATGCACAGTCAAAAAAACACAAAAAAATGCCACCCAAATTGGTCATCCTTTTGCTGGTTTTCTGTCTCAAAATAGCTCTTATCTGGGCGGTTCAAGAAGATACTTTTGCACGCAGACAAAAATCTTGTTCAGCTTTAATAAATAAATATGAAGCCCCAAATTCTATAAACTATATACATTTATAAATATAGTAAGTAATTAATATTTATATACATTTTATGATGGTCCTTTTTTTTGTTGTTTGTGACGTACATATAAAATAATTGCATAACTTTGTAACTAACTGATATCATAGAGATATCTAATGACGTCAAAAGTACTGATAAAACTGGTGAAATAGTCCATGATTTTGCAAAAAATAGTAATAAATATTTTGCAGGCTTACAAACCAAAATCTCATTAACAAAACTCTTTACAAATTTAGTTAGCTTGTATTATCAGCAAATATTTTTCTTCATGTGTATGTTGCTTGTGCGTAAATGAAAGTAACAAATGTCTCCCAGAAAAACTTAGCGCCAAAGGCGCATATTTTGTCTACTAAAAGCATGCTGGGGATTTTCCCAGCTCACAGTAAAAACCAGAGGCCCAGAGTTTGGGAAGACGTATATGAGTGTGTGTTGGCCAAGTTTTGGTGCGTGAATTGAATGCAAAACTCGAAAGTTAAATATTGCACGCTCCGTAGGCACAGGCACAGGAACAGGCTCTTCGCTGTGCTGCGTATATTTTTTGTCAGTCTCTTAAATTTAATTAAAGAGACAGCCGAAGCAAATGCGATTACATCACAGAAAACTTTCAACTTTGCGCCAGAACGAGCAGCAGAGCTGCCAAAAGTGATTTGCACAGTTTGAAGGATTAGTAGGCAGGTAGTAGGAGCAGCTTAAGGGGCCACATCCTTGCCTGCTCAGCCTTCTCGTACCAATCCGTATCCGAATCTTCGCCTGCAGCTGTCACTGGCTCACATAAATCTAAACATTCTGATGTTCTACACGCTGGCTGGCATGTCAAAAGCCGCCCGCAGCCAGGCGAGCTCAGGTGAGTGACTACCTGTCGTCCTGTTCCTGCCGCTGCTCCCTCCCAGGCTGGAGCCCGGAACCCTTAGATCCCTTCAGATAGATATTATCCTGAGCTGAGCGGCAGGAGGAGGAGCTCGGAGAAGCTGGAACAACATATCTTTGCATACTTGATGGCGCATAATGGTGCAAAAAATTGTTTACATGCATAGAGCAACAGAAAATGCTTTGCATTTACATAATTTTTGACTTTTCAAGTCGCAGCGCATTTTTCATAATTTCCCAGCGTTCGTCTTGTGCAATTTCCCAGAACCAAGCATGGAACGCAGAGAACCAAAGGCAGAGAGCATTATGGAAAATTTTCGTGGAATGAATTATGCCGACGCGACTGCTAATCAAATATACATGGAAATTTTTACTACCCATCTTTCCCCGAAATAGAAACTAATATCGGTCAATAAATTCATTTTCGACTATTGAATTTGTCAAAATAAATATGTTTCTCTATCGCCGATATATTGGTTTTTATTTTCTATCAAATTTTGCGGAGAGGAAATACATTTTGCCAGCTTTTCTTGTCTTTTATTTTCCATTTTATGTTCCTTGGATTATATGATTCATTATTTTGCTTAATCGCTGTTTTTATTTCGCTACCCATTTTTCTCATTAATTTTATTAAAATTTGTTAGCCAACTTGTTCCTATTTTTTGCTTTTGGTTTTCAACATTCAGCATGAACTTTGACTTATTAAAATTATCACAAAACCTTAACTAACTCCGCTTAATCTGATATTTTCCCTTTCGTCTAAATTAGTTTAGAGTTTCGTTTTCATATTGAATGCGCGTCTTCTATTTTGAAAATGTGATAAGTATTTAGAATACTATTTGTTATCCTAAACTGAAATTTAAAATAAAGCCAATTTGTGTATTTCTCGTTTTATATATATTCTTAATTATATAAATATTTAAATTTGACTTTCACTTGGATTTTTTGTACGTTTCTTTATTTTAGCGAGTTGTTTTATTTTACTTTTTGCAAACAGATATTATTTTTGGCAAATGTTTACAATGGTTTTCCTGATTTGGCATTCATCACTTGTGACGTTCAATATATTTTTGTTAAAAGTCAAAAATTTTAACATAAACATTAACATATTTATTTTTTAGAAAGAAAGCCACAATTACTTTGTTTTTTTTTTCATTGTTAAAGTGTTAAGTATTTAATTATTTATTTTAGACTTCCAAAGCTCATTTTGGAACTATAACAATTAATTTTCGTTTTAAATAGATTTGTTTATAATACCAAAATGACTTCGGAATTTTTCGCCAACTATTAACTATTTTATTCTAAATCACAAAAAAATGAAGACGTGGCTTAAGTGTATTTTAGGTTACAAGTTGTACTTGCTGATGAGGTTAAAAATATACTACACAGTTCTATGCAATTCTATTTTACAACAAAAAATTATATATTAAATCTTATAATACTTAAAAACTAATTTTCATAATTTTTCTGCTCATGATATCAGGTGAAAAATACTTACGCTTTTGTTCTAGTTGTTCGTTGCTTTTCTATTTTTGGGGGAAACCCATAAAATATGTTTGTGTGTTGTTGTTCCCCGGAATTTTCCTCGATGGAATTCGATGGCGAAAATTCGCAGACTTTGGCCATTAATTGAAAATGCCGCCAAAACTTTGTTTGCACCAAGCTCTCATGGCTTCACACGCGCGCGCTCCTTGTCGCTGATAACAGAAAGCGTTTAAAGTTGGCCAAAGAACACACGCGCGCGTACACACACACTCTCACACAGGAGTCAGTCGATGAGCTGATCCATTTCCCATTTTCTATTTGCTATTTGCTATTTTCTATACATTTCCGTTGGCCAGCTCGGCAGCCAGGGAAAGCGGAAAATACGTCCAGTTGCGCGCTGTGCCATCGACAAACTGAAAACTGATGATAAACGAAAACTGTTTATCAGCAGCGGCAGCGCCCGACGTCCGTTGCCAGCGTCGACGCCACAGGACGACCGAGAGCGTCGACGCCAAAGGACGACAGCGAGCGTCGACGGCGGGCAGCGGCAGCAGCCGAAGAGCAGCTTCGTGTTCGATTGGCCCTCGTCGTTCGCTCTCTTGGGGCTGTGGAGACTTCTGTTCGCGCTCTCTTCTCTCTTTGGCGCCTTATCAGTTCAGGTTGTTGGGATAGGCTCGGTTCCGCTGATAATCGCTCCTCTACGCTCACTAGCGCAAGTCTATATTTGTTTTGGTATTCTCCACAGCGAACAGGTACTATAAAAGCAGGTGGACATCGTCATATTATTGTGATTATTACTACAAACTGAAATGAATTAATTATTATACATTCTTACAGAATAATAATCTGAATTGTAGGGTTTTTATATATATCTAAATAATCAATTGATTAACCCAAAGCTTTTTATCTTATCCGAAAGAGTTTATATATCTATGGGTCTTGTAAATCAATAAAAGTAACATAACATAGTCTCTAATTACAGCTTTCGAAGTTTCAGGAAACCCCTTCAGTAGCCACAGATAAAAAGTGATTCAAATAGATTAAATAAATGAATAAATAATTATTTCCTCCACCTATTTTCCGCTTGATTGTAACAAAAAAAAACCATTTAGTAAGTAAATTTTTCAAGCTCACTGTCTAATTGACTTGAACGCCACACAGACCGACGTCCACAGACAGACAATTTGGCACTGTTTTTTCGTTTCCGTTTTTAGTTTCCTCAAAGCGCTGGCCAGTTTTTTCCTCGTTTTTCCTTAGCTTTTCCCAAGCCAGCTAATGGGCAATAACTAATTCATAATTATGCATTTCCCATTTTTTCGCTTTTATCTTTCGTTTCGTTTATTTGGCATTTACCCCTCCCGATCGCTCCCTTCGAACGCCATCCAAAATATACAATGAGAAAATAGTTTATAATTTTTGGGAGGGCGCAAAGCGTCTGAAAAGTGTGTGGCGGCGTGCTCCCTGAGTCCAATGCTGACGATGATTAATCAATTATGGCACGACTGTCAGAATCGCAAACAGAAAGCTGGAAAAAATGTAATCAAAATTTCAGGGCGCTGGCAGAACCAATAACAAATCGAGGGGCCATGGCAAATAATGAATTTATTTGCCGCTTTTCATCTGTTCAATATCAAAAAACACGTTCGTTGTTCGCTCGCTTTTGGCCAGAAAGCTTTGGCTTAACCGATTTCACGCCAACTCATTGGCCATTAAAAAAGGCTTTGACATGACCAGAAAGCGACAGTGAAGTGCACTTTAAGAAAAGGAAGTTGAATAAATGATAGTAATAATTTAAAATAAAAAAATAGTCCCATCCAAGAAAAACATATTCTAATAAGAGTTGGCAATTGAACACTGATCCAAACATATTATTTCCCATTACAGTTGAAAAATACCCCTTAACCAAGCCAAATAACTATATACTCTTCCCTATTTTCTTATAAATTTACCATGTTTGAAACACATTTTCTTTTAGTGCAGAACCTAAAGAGAGGGCGCACAGTTGATGGAAGCTGACCATTTAAAATATGCATAATCACCTGCCTCCACGTCTGGCAGTAAGGGCAAAGAGCAAGTCGGAAAATTTAATTTGTTGTAATTTGCTGCACTGACAGTGACGATGGCCGGCAGTGAAAATAAGGAAAAGCGAGCTGCGGGAAATATGCACGGTACAATGAAGAGTAAAAAGTGAGCAGGATCCATCCTACTATCTTTATGAAAGACAAATTAAAATGCACTTAGTGCGCGCACACCGAAAAAAAAGAACGGAGAACGGAAGAAGTTGGCAGCCAAGTTTCTAAGCCTGCCTCTGAGGTCGGGAAAAATATGGAAAATCCCCCTGCGAGGGGAATGGGTTACATGGCAGCTTAAGCGTTGTCCTGCCAACAGCTTGACATATTTTCTTATTGAGTTTGAGCAACATTCGAGAGGAAAATGTCCGTTGACCAGCCAGAATTTTTAAGACCCATACCCATAGTGACAATCTGTTAATCTGTCTAAGGACACCTGGGGAAAACTCATTAAGTGTCCAGGGAAATGGGAAATTAGTGTGGAACGGGGGAACACACTCTGTCGCTTAACTAAATTCTCATTGTGCGAGAATATTAATAATAATCATTTTTAATAAACAATAAAGATGCCGCTTATCGCCCCGGCTCGAAGACAACTTTACTTTATTCGCATTTAAATGTTTTTCCCATTGTCCCTCAAATTGGCCCAGAGCCTTGATTCTGGCCCAAGGCTGGCCCCAGAGTAAGCCAGTCAATGGCATTATTGTCCGCCCAAGTCCTGCGGCTGGTACAGTAAATAATGCTTAGCCCCGTTCGATGATCTTTGTTTATGCATGCAAATCGTGAGGGTTTTCCCCCGAATGCCATGATTTCCCCATAACCATTTATTGTCATTTCTTTTGTGGCCGTCATAGCCATTGGCCACTGTGGCCGGTAATTGCCTTGCGAAATTGAATTTCCACGCAGGCAACGTAGTCGGCCTGACAACACTGTGGTCATCTAGGAGTCTTCCTTCGCCCGGAATCCAGCCTGCCTGCCAGCCTGGCATTAGGATTAATCACGAGTTTTGACATTTAATTGTTGCTCTCATTGGGACAAATGGGAGACAATGTGGGGGTTAGTTAAGTGCCCCACCCGGGTAGTTCATCATCTTCTTGGGATGCTTGGGCGTTGCCACAAGGGGAAGCGAGTAGGAAATCCCTTCAAATCGATGGAAATTATGTTGAGCATGGGGAATGGTTATGAAAAGGACTTAACTCATTGAAATCTATGAATATTGTTTTGTTTTAAAGTTATGTTTTAAATGGAAAGTAGAAGAACAATGCAAATAACTATAACAAATAACAGTCAAAGATCTATAGTGACACTATAAAGTCTCGTACTTTTTTCACTGTGCACTTTTCGTATATATGTACATATGTATTCAGGAGGTCCTGGCTGTGTGTGTCTTGGCCTGGCATAGACCTTTAAATGCACTCTATGTGTGGGCCTGTTAATTGCATGGGATTGAGGCAACGACAGGCGACTGGCCCGCAGCAACATCTTTCAATTTGTCTTTTACAATGTGATTTATATGCTAACTGGGGTGTGGCCAATTTGTTGTTGTTGCAGTCCACTTCCTGCTGTATTTGTTGTCTCAACTCGAAGGCATTTTTTTGTGGGTATTTTCTCATGGTTTTTTTTTCGTTCCCCTTATTTTTGGGGCTCTGTTTGCGTATTTGTTCGACTGCTGCGTGTGTGCATGCAAATGACTTGTCAGCTGACAACGGCAACAAGCAAAATTGCTGACCATGTAGCAGAGTGTAGGATGTGTGTGAAGTAGTGTGGAGTGCGGAGTGCTAGTGTGCGTCTCTGTGGGAATTGTGTATCTTGCCAAACCAAAAATTTGCACATAAAGTATCTCTGACAGCAAAGTTTTTCACTTGTAAAACTTGCACGCAACACTGCCTGGGAAGTTTTCTCTGTTTTTGCGGTTTTACTTGCTCGCAATACTGGCAAGTGCGTTGATATAAATTTGACTTAGGAAACGAGCAAACAATAGCAACAAACACACGACTCAATTACACACGCACTGGCAGGGACACTTTAAGGACACTCCACTTGGCGCCAAGGGCCTGTTGTTGACAATTTAAATAGGCTTTTCTTGCATTTAAGCCGCTTTGATGTATGTGCTCGCGATGGTGTTTATTTGTTTATTGATTTTCGCTGCATTGCTCAGCGAGAATTTGAGTTATTTTATCGCCACACACACAGTCTCATGCTCTTGCCAAGCTAAATAATCAACGGTTTTTTCTCCGCCCCAGCCCATCACTCTTGGCCTTACCTGTGTGTATTTTGTGGCGTGTGTGCGGCGAGTGTGTGGCGTGTGCTGTGCGGTTGGTATGCAATTGAAGGTGACACTGAAATTTGCATAATTCTGTTGTCACATGTCGCATACGCCATGTATGATAGCCACAAAAGGGCAATCGGTGTGGCGACAGAACCAAAAAAAAAAAAAAATGAAACAAAAAAAGGGGGCAAAATAAAAGGCCAGGGATTCGAGGCTGAAAGTTAAAGGATGGCCTCTTAAATATTGAACATTTCACGGACTTTGAGCAGGGTTAATTGGCTAATGAACATTTAAGGAGTTTGTTACTAAAAATTAGTTCTAGATTACAGGATATAGTTTTCTGGGATAAGAATTTGCTTAAACTTAGAGTTGCTTAGTTTTTAAAGACTAAAAGACAGTATTTTGCGAATTAAAATGTATGTATTTTTGGGTTAGGAATGAGCTTTTTAAAATTTGAATTGACAAATAAATTGTTATATAAAATTATAGTTAATATCGATTAAAAAATGGTATTGCACCTTTAGTCGGAAGGTTAAAAGAAAGTGAAGGAGTCATTTCCGACCCTATAAATCATATATATTCTTGATCAGCATCAACAGGCGAATCTTTGTAGCTATCTCCTTGCAAAAAAAAATTTTTTTCTGAAATTTCCCATTTTCTGAAAAAAAGGAAAGGGGTTACATCATTAAAAATTCCAAAAATCGGCCAAAAATTCGCATTTTAAATGGAGTATGCAGTTTTATTAACCTGCTAAAAATTAACATTCCAGCGTTCTCCGAATTGAATTTAATGCTATTTTGACTGAGTTATGAGATTTTTAAATTTTGATTTGTTGAAAAAATTTACATGAATAATATAGTTAAAATGGTATTGCACCTTTAGTCGGAAGTCTAAAAGAAAGTAAAGGAGTTATTGCCGACCCATACATCTTTGGCAATTTTATTAACCTGCTAAAAATTAACATACCAGCGTTCTCCGAATTGAATTTAGTGCTATTTTGACTGAGTTATGAGATTTTTAAATTTTGATTTGTTGAAAAAATTTACATGAATAATATAGT